CGGCCGAGATCTCCGTCTAAGCGGGTGGGGGCGCCCGGGGGCGGTGTGCGCCCAGGTGTCCCCTGCTCCGGGCACCGGGCACTGGGGCTGGGGATCGGGGACCCACCCACACGCTCCGCTGGAGGGGCCGGGCGCAGGTTCTGCTGCCCCCCGCCATCCCCGCCATCCCCGCAAAACGTGCTTTCCAAGAATCTGCGCTCGGGACCCCTGTGTCGCAGCCAGGGTGGGGCAGATGCCCTTGGCAGGGGAGCCTGACCGCGGCCTCTGTCTCCCAGCCCAGCCGCCCCGGGCGGGCCCCAGGAAGGCGCCAGGAAGAGGCTGCCCCTCCCGTCCCGCAGGTAGTTAAGTGACCGCCCGCCGTTCTGGGGCGCCCTAGCCAGCCCCTGCCACAGCTCTCCCGGGACACGTTCCGGAAGGGTGCCCACCTCCTTTGCCTCTCCTTCCCCGTGAGACCCCTCTCCCACCCCCTCCGCAATACCCGCTTCGTCCTTCAAACCCCTGCCCTGTGCAGGCGGAGAAGCTGCCAGCTTGCCTCCTGGGCCCCCAACCAGAGATGCTCCCACGTCCTGGCGGCCAGAGCAACGCCACAACCTTTGGCCAAAGTGAGGGCTGGCCCAGGGCCAGCCGAAATCGGGGCTCTGGGTGTGTGCAGAAATAGAATGGGACCCATCCTCTTTCACTGGCGGCACCACTGTACCCCAAGAACAGGTTGGGGTTCTCCTCTTTTGCATCAGGGGCTCAGCCAGGCTGTCCCTCTGCCCCGGCCACCGTGCGGGCTCCCTGCCTGGCCTGGGGAAGAGGCAGAGGCAGAGATCACCATCCTGGACGAGGTGATCGGCCTCCTCCCAGGGCCCTCCTGGGCAGGGCTCTTGTGCTGGCTGGCTGTGTGTGGGTGTGTATGTGCCAGACTGTGAATGAATTCGACCAGCCTGCTCCCACTACCGCCTCTAGGGCCAGCAGCTTCCAGGGCTAAAACACCTCAGGCAGCAGCGCTGCCACTGTTTCCGCCTGATCCAGGGGCAGGCCCTAGGGATTCCAGGCTAAGGGGACTGGAACCCACCCCAGCATGGGGCTGCACACGCCCTTGGAGAAGCAGCTGGGCGCACATACACACACACACACACACACACACACACACACACACAGAGCAATGAGTGCCCATGGGGGGCGGTGGTGACTCCTGGCTGGGGTAGCCTGATGCGGTGCTGAGGACCTTGCCCAGGGAGTTGGGATGGGTATTGCTTGGGCAACTTGCTTCCTCTTTCTGGGCCTGTTTCCTGGTCTGTAAAATGGAGTGACAGTGACTGCTACTCGGCCCGTCCTCGAGAAGCTTCTTTTATGGAGAGGAGATGATGGAACGAAAGGGCTGAAGAACACTGCAGAGTGCCCTGCACCTGTCAGTGACTCTAGGGGGACAAAGCCTCACTCCTGCAGGGGTTGGGCACGGCTCTGCCTCTTCAAGTGTTGCAGGGCGTCCAGGGTATGCCCCCTTCCTGGCCCCTCCGCATCCACTGCTCCTTCTTTTGGAACTGGGACATTCCAGTCCCATTCCTCAGGGGCAGCTGCAGACACACCCCTCAGCATAACTGATTCCCCAGCAGGTGGTGGGACACCCCCCTTCACATCTCCTCTTATGGGCTGTCAGGGCTCAGGAGAGCTGATGCAGCAGAGTTCGGAGTGGGAGCGTCCTGCCCACTTACTCTGGGATGTCCCAGCCCAGAGGAGACGCATGGTGGGGAGCCTGTGCCCTTACTTCCTCCTGTGCAGCTGGATGTGACCTGAGGCACGTTGTTTCAACACCTGGGCCTCGGTTTTCTCTTACGAAGCGGGGGTTCACACTTCTCCCCTCCTGTGCCTGTTGTGAGGCTATGGTAGCCCTGTGTCAGGCTGACCCACCGAGGCACCCACTAATGGATGCCAGGATGCCTCCTTATGTTCTGTCTCTGCTCCCCCAGGCCCACTGTCCTGGCTGCACCAAGGGTGGTCCAAAAGAGATGTCCCTCTGTGCTCGGGACTTTCAGTCTGCTGGCTACTCTTGCGCCAGGGGATGGGAGCGGGAGTAAAGGCCCTGTTGGGGCCACTTGGGGCCTGTGCGGAAGGCCCAGCCCAAACCTAGCCTGTAGGATTGTAGGCAGTTTTCAGCTCTGGGCAGATCTCTGGGCCCCAGAGCGAGCAAGCCCAGGCACTTAGAGGCATCTGACTTTGGGCTCTGATCCCTCCCCAGTTGCTCTCCCTGTTCCCGTTCACTCCCCCCCCCCCCATCCCCCTTTCCCCACCAAATCCTCTCCAGCCCACAGCTGTCCTGGTCTGGCCAGGCCAGTCCCTGGGCTTCCAAGCAAAGGAAGGCGTGTGTGTTAGGGGGAAGGGAGAGAGGCAGGGGAAGTGGAGGGATCCTTCCTGGAAAAGGTACCAGCTGGTAATGCAGCCAGAGAAGTTTCTTAGGAGGGGTGGAGGGTGGGGGCCTTAAAGGAAGACAAAGGAAAGGAGCTGTCTACGCCTCTTCCCCCAGCTCCATAGCTGTCTAACTGCTCAAGTCACTTGTGGCGGGAAACTGGCCCCATGCCTCCCTCACCACCTTCACACACACACACACACACACACACACACACACACACACACACCCTCTGCATCTAGTCTCTGGGCAGGGAACTAGATGGTTTCTCCTGGTCTCTCCTGCCAGAGTATTCCTGTATTATTAGGTCTATGTGTCCCAGAGCGTGTTCAGTGCCGTGTGGGTGACCTTGACCGTGACTGTCTGCCTTTGGACTCTCGGCACTGTGTCCTGATATAGGAGCCTCTGGGCTGCTGGTGGCACTGACTGGACTGCAACATACGTGTGGCTGGCGTAGATGCTGTTATGGCCATGGCTGCCTCTCTAGACGGAGACTCTTTGTGGGGCACAGGGGATGTCAGTTATTGCTCCCTGAGACAGGAAGTGAGGATCTGCCCAGGGGACGGTGAGATGGTGTCTATTTGGAATGAAGTGAGCGTATTTGGCATCACTGTCACCATCGTCCACAGCATCCCCCCTCCCCCGCCCGCCCCCCTTGTTGCACAGGGCTTATACAGTTCACAAGACCTTTTGCCTCTGTTGTCTCTGTGATTCTCACGGTAATCCCATAAGGAAGGCAGGGCAGGCAGGGTCTCCCCCCCCCCCCCCCCCCCGGAGATGGGGAGACTGAGGCTTGGTGAGGAGAGGTGCCCCTTGGAGAGTCAGTGTGAGGCCGGGCAGGAGACCAGCTGTCCACCTCTGACAGGAGTTCAGTGCCCTCTCAGACATAGAGGTGTCTGGCCGGGTGGGTTTGTCCGGGTGAGGGGTCAGATTGGGAGATCGGTGCTTCCATTCCCCCGCTTTGGGACATGGGTGACATCCTTGGTCATTTGGCAGCCATGGAGCTGGAACACAGGTGTCCTCACCCTAGCCAGCCTTGTGTCCTTGGGCAAACCATTTCACCTTTCAGAGCCCTAGTGGCCGTACCTAAAAAATAGATGGTACCTGGGTCTCAGGATTCAGTGAGACCCCTGTGTCGCTCGCTGTAGGTGCTTAGCACTTGTGATTCCTTACCCGGATGAGCCCCCTGACCCTGTGTGGCCTGTGACACCACCGGAGGTGTTGAGGGAACTGGGGCCTGGGAGGGAAGGGTTGGGAAGGTTACTCTTGCCCAGGGTGAGGTGGAGGGCCACATGTGCGGGGGCAGGGCTGCACCCTCCTTCCCTTTTACTCCTAGAGAGCTTTGTCTCCCACAAACACAAAACCTGGAAATGGCTGAGGAAGATGGAACCTCCTAACGGCCATTGTTTGGGAGGGGAGTGGGTGTCCCGGCGGCATATTGGGGAGGTTGTGGGGGACTCACAGCTGCAGCGTGCCTGCTGGGGTCTATCTGGGAATGGGAGTGGCCGGGCGGGAGGGAGAGAAGGTGGCACTGGTTCATCCAGCATGCTGGGCACTGGGCTTAGCACAGGGGATTCAGCCGGGCACTGGGGACAGGTCCCACCTCCACTGTGTGGGCCCAGCACAGGTGGAGCCTGGCCTCTGAGTCTCCCACCAGTGATGCTCATTGTCTGACCGGCTTAGCTCTGCTCTGGTCAGCCTGTGTTGACCCTGCTGCTGACGGGGCGCTTTGTTCTATTATCTTAGCCCATTCTCCAGGCACCCCTGAGTGATGAGTTGTCATGGCTATTGTACGCATGAGGGAGCCAGGCCCCTCACACTGACCCGCTCAATGCAGGGTCAGATTTAGAGTCACCCCTCCCCCCGTCCTCACACCTGGCGGTGGGCCCTCTAGCGTATATGTAAGGGCTGGCAGGGGCTCTGGCTGCCCCTTCCCCCTGCCTCCCACCATGGCCCACGGTGAACACCTGTTCCGGAAACTGTGGCCATTGTTTCCCTCCATCCTTCCTCCCCTCTGGCCCTTCCTGTTTGTATCCCTCACCCTGCCTGGTGCAACCCCGCCCTTGCCAGGTGCTTCCCTTGGGGAGCTTACTCTCTGCAGGAAGAGGGCTGAACTGGGTTTCCCCACTCCCAAGAAAAGAAGAAGGAATGGAGTATCTGAGGCGGCTGGCCCTGGTTCCCTGTGCTTTCTGCCTACTTCCCAGATTGTGGGGGGGACTCTAGCAGGAGAGTGAGCAAGGCCAGGGTCAGACAGAGCCTGAGTCCTCAACTGGCCCAGGCCTGGGAAGTGTCCTATCGTGCTGTTTCATTGCCTCCCCTCATTCATAACTCCCCACCCCCAATCATACACCAGCCTCTAGCTGATGCTTGGGTACTGACCGGGCAGGTGGCTTAAGGGCTTGCCTTCTTCTTGCCAGCCTCAGTATTCTGTGCTGCATCCTCTCCATATCCATACCTGCCTCTCCTGGGCCTGGGCCAGATGGGGAGCTGACGCAGAACAAGCACCTGGTTTTAGGGCATCGAGGGCAGGTGGGCAGCAAGCACCCACCTGCCCCTGATGGAGCCTCTTGATCTCTAGAAGCAGCTGCCTGTGCCGTGTTGAAACTTCATGGACACAGCCCCAGGCCCTGCTGGCATTGCCATGGGCAGCGTGGGCAGCCTGTTGGAACGGCAGGACTTCTCCCCTGAAGAGCTACGGGCGGCGCTTGAGGGGTCCCGAGGCTCCCGCCAGCCTGATGGGCTCCTCCGGAAGGGCTTGGGCCAGCGTGAGCTCCTCAGCTACTTGCACCTCCCTAAGAAAGATGGCAAGACTGCCAAGCGGGCCGCTCGGAACGAGCCTGCCGACTATGCCACCCTCTACTACCAGGAACATCCCCGGGCTGGTGACTTCAGCAAGACCTCGCTGCCCGAGCGGGGACGTTTTGACAAGGTGCACCTCTGCCCAAACCCCTCCCTAGGTGGGAGGGTGGGATGGGGAGCTTGGGGCCTCCTTGGAGACCTCGGCGCTGGGACAGGGCTTGGCCCTGAAAGTCCTGCCATGGACTAGCCTGGTCACTGCTTCCCAGTGGCAGGCACAGCATGTCTGAAAGGACCTTCAGGGCTGTGGGAGCATCGTAAGGCCGTGCTGCTAGCCCAGGGCCTTACCCTGCCCTCTCTTCCTGGCAGTGCCGTATTCGCCCGTCGGTGTTCAAGCCCGTGGCGGGCACCGGGAAAGGCTTCCTGTCCATGCAGAGCCTGGCGGCCCACAAGGGCCAGAAGCTGTGGCGCAGCAACGGCAGTCTGCACACGCTGGCCTGCCACCCGCCCCTGAGCCCGGGGCCCCGGGCCAGCCAGGCACAGGCCCGTGCCCAGCTGCTGCACGCCCTCAGCCTGGACGAGGGCGGCCCCGAACCCGAGCCCAGCCTGTCTGACTCCTCCAGCGGGGGCAGCTTTAGCCGAAGTCCCGGCATGGGCCCCGGCCCCTTCAGCTCCTCCCTGGGCCACATCAACCACCTCGGGGGCTCCCTGGATCGCGCCTCTCGGAGCCCAAAGGAGGCCGGGCCGCTGGCCGGGTTGAACTGCCTGCCTGAGCCCCCGCCGCCCTACGAGCTCTCATGCCACACTGCCGACGAGGTGGTGGCCATGCTCCCCGACACCTGTGAGGACCTGAAGAGAGGCCTCAGTGACCAGGACGGCGCCAATCACTTCACGCAGGTGAGGGCAGCCTCTGCCTGGGGTCCTGCTCTGCCCCTTGGCATTGGTGTACCGGGCAGGGTCCTCAGCCCGTTCCCCCATGTGACTCTCTGGACATGAGAGGAAGAAGGAGATGCATCAGCTCCTCTCCCCCTACCCCACGTGGTGGGATGTGGGTCACTCCTGGTTCTTGCTGGGGTTGTATAAAAGGGAGGAAGAGATGCCTTGGGGAGGGGAGGGCGGGACTATGTGGGAGACACTTCCCCTCTGGAGGGCATCCCAGGGTAGGGCACGAGTGGCCAGGGCGGTGGGCCCTGGTCCTGGGTTTTCGGGACAGGACGTCGGCGGCGGCTACCCCGTGCCTCTTTCCCCTGGCAGGTGCTGGAGGAACGCCAGCGTCTGTGGCTGTCTGAGCTGAAGCGCCTGTACCTGGAGCGGCTGCACGAGGTGGCCCAGAAGGCCGAGCGCAGCGAGCGGAACCTCCAGCTGCAGCTGTTCATGGCCCAGCAGGAGCAGCGGCGCCTGCGCAAGGAGCTGCGGGCCCAGCAGGGCCTGGCCACCGAGCATCGGCCGCCAGAGGCGGACCCCAACACGCGGCCGGAGGAGGAAGCGCGGTGGGAGGTGAGAGACCGGGCTCTCGGGAACTCTCCTGTCCCCCGTTTCTGCAGCCCCCTCCTCTGCCCACCCTCAGCCCAGCCCCCTGACCCAGCCTTGCTTGGCGCCCGCCCCTCCCGCGCCCCTTCCAGGTGTGCCAGAAGACGGCGGAGATCAGCCTCCTGAAGCAGCAGCTGCGGGAGGCCCAGGCCGAGCTGGCGCAGAAGCTGGCCGAGATCTTCAGCCTAAAGACACAGCTCCGGGGCAGCCGGGCACAGGCCCAGGCCCAGGACGCGGAGCTGGCCCGGCTGCGGAGCCTGCAGGAGCGGGCCCCCCGGGAGGAGGCCCCAGGGAGTTGTGAGACCGATGACTGCAAGAGCCGGGGGCTGCTGGGCGAGGCGGGAGGCGGCGAGGCCGGGGACGGTGCCGCCGCCGAGCAGCTGCGGGCCGAGCTGCTGCAGGAGCGACTCCGGGGCCAAGAGCAGGCGCTGCGCTTCGAGCAGGAGCGGCGGACCTGGCAGGAGGAGAAGGAGCGGGTGCTGCGCTACCAGCGGGAGATCCAGGGGGGCTACATGGACATGTACCGCCGCAACCAGGCGCTGGAGCAGGAACTGCAGGCGCTGCGGGAGCCCTCCGCGCCCTGGAGTCCTCGGCTGGAGTCCTCCAAGATCTGAGGCCCGTGGAGAGAGCTGACGGCAGAAGCACTGCCAGAAGGAGGCTTGGGCAAGCCCTCCCTGAGACAGCCGGCTCCTTCCAGACATTGATCTGGGGCAGGATCTGCCGAAGCCAGCCAGGGGCGGGGAGGCTCACCGAGGGGAGGGATCCCGGCGGGGCTGTGGGCTGGGGAGGGTGCCAGCAGCGGGAGCCAGGCCCACCTGGCTGAGAAGACCCCTGCAGGGCCCAGCCTGCTCCTGGGGTAGGTGTGGCCCTAGGAGAGGGAGACTGGGAGATGAGGCGCTCAAGATGTAGATGGGCAGGCGTGAGGGAGGAAGGCTGGGAAGATAACACTGGCCTCCCCCGGAATAAAAGCACGTTTTCTAGAGGAGGCCCTTGGTGATACGTTGGGCCTGTCCCCGGCCTAGATCAAGCATGGTTGGGGTTAGGAGGCTGTGGACCTGGACTGTAGCTCCTCCCGGAGTCCTGGTTAGTGGGAGGTGGTACCCAGTTCCTGTGTGCACAGCTGCTGGGCACGTGTATTGGCAAGTGGAGGAGTCCTCCTCCTTGCCCCAGCGCCACATGGTTCCGTAGCTGCCGTGTGGGCTGAAATTCCTTTCTTCAGCACCAGTGGGATTTTTCTGAAGGAACGATGCCAGGGAACCCGGGAAAACAAAAGGGCAAGTCACCCAAGGCGTTGCTAGAACATGAAACCTCTCAGTGGAAAGTCAGCCCCCGTGCCCAGGCCCCTGCTGGGTTTAGGGCTAGCCTGAGACAGCCTCTTCTGGCGCTCCCTAAGGCTCCTGTCCCTCCCAGAACCCACCCCTCACCTTCCTGTCTGGCAGTGGTTCACCCCTCCACACCCCCTCCATAGGGGTGGGGCTTTGGGAAGGTGCGGGAGACAGGCAGAGAAAGCTTGTGGGTCAGTGGGTAATGAGCCTTTGCCACTGCAAGGAATGTGGACATTTCCCCATAGGCATGGAGGACCCTGGAGAATTTTTAAGCAGGGGTGAAATAGGAGCTCATTTGTGTTCTGAGAAGCAGCCCCTGCCTCTCAGAGACCTGGCTTCCTCTCTGGGCCTTTGCTCCCTCCCGGAGGGTGGCGTGGTGCACAGAGCCAGACTGGCTGTGCAGGTAGCATCTCCCCACCCCTTGCCCTTGTAGTGAAGCTCGGCACCCTTACAGGTGAATCATTGTGACTGCTGGCATGCATTGAGGGCTTCCCTTCTGCCAGGCACTGTTAGGCTGCCAGGGCATGGGGGCTCAGGCTTGAATCTTTCTGCCCCAGGGGAAGCAGCACACAGAGACTTCTCCCCTCCCACCTCTCCATGCTGGTGGGGCAGGCACTTCTCAGCAGAGATTCCCCAGTTTGCTCCCAGTGGCCGTGCTCTGCCCTCCTAGCCAAGCCTGGCAGCCACTGAGGCCCCAGCAGGTGGGGCCTGTGCATGGGGTGTGGATAGGGCTGTAGTGTGAGCCAGTGTGCCCTGCCTTTTCAGGGTGGAGAGGGGTGTGTGAATTGACTGCCAAGGGGATGGTGTGTCTGGCCCTGTCAGTGGCAGGTGTGTATAGAGATGTGCTGTGGGCGGTAGGTGTGTCCGAGGGGGTGTGTTTGGGGCTTCTGGGCTGCTTCCGGCCACTCCTTCTGCTCCATTACTTGCCCCCTGGCTCCAGTCCCTTTAGCTAGTGGAACCTGTGTCCAGGGCAGACCCCCGGGCCTAGCTAAGACCCATCTAGGCCCACCCTTCAGCCTGGGGAGGGAGAGGGAACACCTGGGTCAGTTCCTCACAGGCCCACCCTCCCAAACCAAGGTTTCTGGGCCAATGGCCCTCAGGAGGGCCCCCTCCACCCCCGCAGCTGAGTGCTGGCCTGAAGTCGGGGCCACTCCCTCCTCAGGGCCTGGAGCAAGTTGGGCTGGGTGCCCGCATGCCCTGCAATGGCCAGGGTCCTCTTTTCCATGTACCACCTCTGCAGAACAGCTCCTCACCCTGCAATTAGAGAGCTGGGCCTGCCAGTACTGCCAGTGGGGAGTGGGTGGGCGGTACCAAAACTTGGCAGCTATGCCAGAAACCAGGACCAGGCCCAGATGCAGGGGGAGGGCTCAAGGGAGCCAAGCTGAGGTGTCTCAGAGGAAACTTGATCCCTATTAGCTCATCCCTGCCTGGCAAACCAGTTCGGAGTCCCCAAGCCAGCTTGGTGGCTCTAGGGCTCTGGGACCAGACAATTACAGGTGCCCCTATAGTGGCTGCTGCTTCAGGGCAGCTCTTCCCTCCTGCCCCTGCAGGCCCCTGGGGCCCCCTCCACCAGCAGAATAGGCACAGGCAGCCAATTCAGAACTGTGGCGAGCCCCACTCTGGGCTCCCTACCCCTGGTCCCTCCTTTTCTCAGCTCAGATGGTGTCATGCTCCCTGGGCCCCTAACCCTGTCACTTGAAGCCTCTGGCAGTCTATCCCCCTGAGTCACTGATAGGGGTGCCCCTTCAGACCCAGCAGCCCTCTAGGCCTTCCTTCTCTAGGCAAAGCCCCCTCACTGTGCTCACATCTTGTCTCATCAAGGAAGCCTTTTTTCTTTTTTAAAAATATTTTATTTTTATTGATTTCAGAGAGGGAGATAGAAATATCAATAATGAGAGAGAATCATTGAGCAGCTGCATCCTGCACGCCCCCCACTGGGAATCATGCTCTGACCAGGAATTGAACTGTGACTTGGCTCAAAGGTGGATGCTCAACCACTGAGCCACGTCGGCTGGACCAGGAAGCCTTTTCTGAAGTCAGGGCAATCCACCTCCCTGTGCCCATAGCCCTCACATGCCTCTCTACCAGCTCTTTCTATGCTGTTGGGGTTGTCCCTTCATCTCTGGACTGTGGGCCTTGCCCAGCCAGAACTATGTCTTGTTTTTGTTGTTTGTTTTATAATATATTTTTTATTGATTTCAGAGAGGGAGAGGGAAAGAGATAGAAACATCAATGATGAGAGTGAATCTTGGCTGCCTTCTGCATGTCTCACACTGAGGATCGAGTTTGCAACCTGCGCATGTGCCCTAACCAGGAATCGAATCGTAACCTCCTGGTTCATAGTTAGATGCTCAACCACTGAGACTCACCGGCTGGGCTCATGTCCTGTTTTTATCCCTAGAGCCGCTCTGCTCCAACCCCAGAAAGCACTGGGGAGCTTTGGAGTCCAGAGGGACCAGACCCCTCCTCTGACGGACATGGGTTTGAGCTGGTGGGAAAGATTTCTGCTCTGAGTGTTCATTCCCCCATGGGAATCAGATGTGTACCAGGTTTGTCAAGCTCCAGGGTGCCGGAGCTAGGTGCCACTCACTGCACAGTGATGGATCGCTGCCTCCCTCAGGGCCTGGCGTGGTTCCCAGGTGAGGAATCTGATGTGGCCATGGCCTCTGCCTTCTTGGCCCTTTCCCCGGTGGGCGGAGGAAGGAGACAACACGCATGGCCATGTAGTGACGGAGCCAGGCAGGAGCCAGGGCAGTGCAAATGTAGCGATCAAGTCAGAGAGTGAAGGAAGCAGAGAGAGCGTGAGAGGAAATTTCTGAGACTGGGGGCTGGGGCTGTAGGTATAGTGATTCTGTCTCCACAGATGATGCAGGCCCCACGGTGACAATCCATCACCTCGTGGGGCCAGGCTTCACCCATTATACTGGATTCAGGAAAGAAAAAGAATGTGTGGTTTCCTACAACAAAAGTGAAATATGTCACGTGAGAGGAGGTGGGAGTTCAGAGAAGAGTGGGCTCACTTATGCAGGTGCTGGAGTGCGGTGACAAAGGTTGACCAAACTTTGGTTAAGCTATTTTAATTAATTTTTTTTTAGAGAGAGGAAGGGAGAGAGAGAAACATCCATGCGATAGCACAACATGGATGGAAAAAATATCCTCTGGTGAGGATTAACAACAAAATAACCTTGATTGGCTGCCTCCTGCACGCCCCCTGCTGGAAATCCATCCAACTGTTTGGTGCATGGATGAAACAGCCAGGGCTTGTGAGGCTCTTCTGAGCTCTTTCTGACGAGGTCTGATCTTGGAAGGTGTCCTTTCTTGTTCAGTCCATCTCTAGCAAGAATCCTTAGTTTAGCCAGAATTGCCCATCCTCTATACTAAATTCCCCTGCACATTTAATTTGGTTTTTCCTCCTCCACGGGTCACTGGCCTGCCTTCAGTGAGATCCTGTGGTCTGTTTAGCCAGAATGCCCTCTACCCCCTGAGGTTTTCTCGTAGTAATTTTCTTTTCTTTTTAAAACATATATTTTTATTGATTTCAGAGAGGAAAGAAGAGGGAGAGAGAGATGGAAACATCAATGAGGAGAGAATATCATTGATTGGCTGCCTGCTGCATATGCCCCCATTGGGGATCAAGCCTGAAACCCTGGCCTGTGCCCTGACCGGGAATCAAACCTTGATCTCCTGGTTCATAGGTCGAGACTGTCAACCACTAAGCCACGCCAGCCGGGCTTAGTAACTTTCCACCCACTGACCCCCAGCCTGGTCCTTGGCCATAAATTCTACTTTTCCTTATTGTGTTTGGAGTTGAGCCCACTCTCTGTCCCATACTATAAATCTCCATCCATCGCTGTAGTCCTTCTTGAATAAAGACTTCCTTACCATTCTAACAAGTGTCATGAGTAAATTTTTTTCTTTATTCCCCCCCCCCCCTTTTTTTTGTTAATCCTCACCCGAGGATATTTTTTCCATTGACTTTTATGAGATAGTGAAAGAGTGGGAGGGGGAGGGAGAGAAAGAGAAAAATAGATGTGAGAGAGACATCGATTGGTTGCAACCCAAGTATGTGCCCTTGACCAGGAATCGAACCCGTGACCACTTGGTGCTCGGGCCAGTGCCCTAACCATTGAGAACACCGGCCAGTGCTTTTGTTTTTTTTCTTTAACAGGGTAAGCTTCTCTGAAGAGGGGAATTGGGGTTTCCTCAGGAGCATCATTGGATGAGGGCATCTAGGACAGGCCTGGACTTGGACACAGGGAAGCGTGGGGCAGGCCTGGGGGAGGGTTCTGACTGACATAGGAAGACCTCATTTCCTGTGGCTGTGGGTGGGTCCCAACCGCAGCCAGAGGGAAGGGCCAGAACCAGGATGTGTGTGTGACCTGTGTGGTAACGCAGGGTCCCACACACAGAAGGGCAATGCTCTGCTATTGCCATCTTGAACTTCTTAATGATGTTTGAACAGGAGACCTCATGTTTTCATTGTGCTCTGGGGCCTGCAAATGATGTAGCCACTTCTGGCCTGAACCAAAGCCTTGCAAGGAGGGGCAGGAACTGGGAGAAGAAGCGGAGACTTGTTGGGAGCCGCCTGGAGGGTGGAAGGAAGAGAGGGCCAGAGCAGGCAGCTTGAACTCCATGGGATGAAACCTGACGCTCCCAGGTTCTTCAGAAGGCAGGCAGTGGGTGCATCGCCAGTTGCAGGGGAAGGAAGGCTGTATTTTCAGCAGAGCATTCCAGGGCTTGCCATCTAGGTCAAGAAACTTTTTTTTTTTTTTAAAGGATTTATCGAGCGTGTTCTTTGTGTATCTGTTTCCCTTCTCCCATTTTAAGGTATAATATACATACAGGAAAACTCAACTTTTTTAGAGTTCAGTTTTTAGAGCTTTGGCAAATGCAAAGTTGTATAACCCTACAATCAAGATATGAAATAGTTGCGGCATCACCCCTTCCCCTCCCCAGTTCCTCTGTGTCCCTAGGTAGTCAGCCCTTAACCTCTGCTCCTGGGCAACCAGTGACCTGCTTTCTTAATTACCTTCTGTTTCTTTCCCCCCACTTTTATTTATTTATTTTTTATTGATTTTGTACAGAGAAGAAGGGAGAGAGAGAGAAAGTTAGAAACATCGATGAGAGTCATCAATCAGCTGCCTCTTGCACACCCCCTACTGGGGATATGCCCACAACCAAGGTACATGCCCTTGACTGGAATCGAACCCGGGACCTTTCAGTCCCCAAGCCGACGCTCTATCCATTGAGCCAAACCGGTTTCAGCTCCCCCCATTTTTTGTGAGTCTTATTTAATTCCCCCACACATTAGAACATATTACAAAAGTAGCAAGTAAAACTATATAACATTGATGTAAAAATAAAACCGCTTCAAGGGAAAGAATGCGGAGCCAGAAATAGATTTCATATTGCAGAAAATTCTAATATGATGATGAAGGGCTTCAAAATGAGATGGTAAGAAGGCTTATTTAGTAAGAGGTGCTGTGATAACTGGACAAAAATGTGGGAAAACATTGTCAGATGTTGCACTTCCACGTGCAAAATGAAATGGACATGTACATTGGGGAGGAGGCCTGGGGGTTGTACCAAAGAGTTAAATTTTCAAAAATAAATCCTAGGAAACTAAACTATTATTGAATTGGTGGAGAACAGCTGTTTTTCTGCTCGGAAGCAGCCCCTTCTCCCAACAAAAACAAACACAATCCCAAGGGGTAAAATGGACAAAATCATCTTCGTAATAAAACTTGGTGCACACTGTCAAGTGACCAAACAGAAATGCCAGGAGAACCACATCCTGGGGAAGCGATGACAAAGGGGAAACTGCCTGAGGCGTCATCCTGGCATTCAAAGTCCTCACAGAAGCTGGGCTTCGCTCAGACCTAGCCTAGCTGGCAGGTCCAGTCTGGCTCCTCCAGAGGAAGTGGGAAAGCCTGGGGCGTCCTGGAAAACCGGTGGGGTCCAGTCAGCTGGCAGGCGGAGGCGGCCCTGGCCTCAGCACTTGGCCCCAGGCTAGGCTCACTCAGCTCTCCGCCCCCAAGCTCGCGTGGGCCAGGACCACCCAGGCTCGGTGTGCACAGACCGGATTCGGCAGGATATGGGGCTCTGGCCTGCCCCTTCTCTGCGTGTTGCAGAAGGTTTTGGAGCCATTGGAGGGTATTAGGTACCTCAGAGTATTTCTGAGCTTAAAGTGTTCCTAGTACATGGTGTTGGGGATACAGCAGTACTGAGTACCAAGTCCTGGTTCAAATGAGGCTTTTATTCTTAAGAGGAGGGGTGTTAGGGGCCGAAAGACAGAATAAACAAACTCGTAAGATAATTTTAAGTCAAATGCTATTTGACAAAACAAAACAAAACAAAACTGGTTTGTGCAAGTGCTATACAGAAAACAAACAAGATTGTGCAAGGGTGGTTGGGGTGAAGGTTGGGAAGGAGGCCTGCAGGGTGGAAGGGGGAGGTTGCCCTGGAATGAAACTGACGCGGAAAGGGAGCAAAAAGTCAGGACCAAGTCTTTTCTCTTGGGCGGTTTTTATTCCTTTAATTTATTTTAGAGCGAGGACAAAGAAACAAGGATGAAAAAGAGCCATTGATTGGCTGCTTCCTCCACGCCCCCTACTTGGGGGGCCCACAACCCAGGGGTGTGCCCTGACCAGGAATCCAACCGTGACCTCGAGGTTCACAGGTCGCCGCTCAACGACGGAGCCACCCCGGCTGGGCTGGGGCTCTTTTCTAGCTCAGGTCTCGAAGGCTTGTGGAGGGATGGGCGATTCCTCCGCGCGGCCCCTTGCTCTGGGAGGAGTGCGAATTCAGTCCAGGCCTGGGTTTGGGGTCACCCTTCCTCTTCAGAACAGTTGTGCTACCCGGTCTCCCCACCCCACCCACTCCCCGTTCGCCCAGGCGGGACAACGGCTGGGGGGCGGCAGAGCAGGGCCTGGGTACTCTCACCCCAGCAGTCTGGCCCTCTTATTGAATACCCAGTGGATAAGTACTGACTTATCCAGGTTAGGTACTGACTTAGGGACAGGAAAAAAAGTGACTTTTCTTTTAAACATCATTTGATGTGTCAAAAAGAGCATCCAGGAGCCCTCGCGGGAGAGCCTGTCCGACCTTTGGGTGGGGGCGGAGGGCGGGGCGGAGTGGAACAGTCATGGTTTAGGGCTTCAGAGCGCGAAGCGGGACGCTGGGACCGACTTGTGGGGGGCGGGCGGCCCAGGAGCTTCTTCCCCGTAGGGAAGCCGCCCCGCCCGCCCCATGCACCCGCACACCTCCCGGGCCAGCGAGCGGGTGGGCCCGACCCCTTCCCGGTCCAACTCCCAGGCGCGGAGGGTCGCAGTGCAGCGGCAGCCTCGGGCACAGGCTCCGGCGTCCGCCGGGCGGAGGGGGCGCGGCTTCCCGCCTCCGCCCGCGTCTGTGGGCGACTCCACTCCGGGCGCGCGGGAAGGTGGGGCCGGGCGCACAGGCGCAGAGCCGCGGCGCTGCGGACACCCCTCCGCGAAGCTGCGAGTGCGCGAGTCCGGATCCGGAGCAACCGCCGCGGCTTCCGGTCCGATGACAGCAGCGCCGGAAGCCGGGGCCGGGCTGCAGCAGCAGGTGAGAGCCGGGGTGTGGAGGTGCGGGCCGAGGGCAGGCGCGGCGGGGGGCCCGGCGGACTGCAGCTCGGCCGGGCCCCCAGGCCTCGGGCCTCCCCCGAAGGCCCCCCCCCCCCCGATTAAGTCTCCGTCCCGGTCCGCCCTTGGACTTGTTTGCTTCGGAGTCGTGGGCCCTGGCTGAGAACTGAAGCCCCACAGACTCCCATGACACGCAAGGAATCGCTTCTGTCGGGGGAATCGCTCTAACTCAGCCATTCCATCCTAGTGCGACCCAGCTGGGATGAGGGCGCCAGGCAGGGCGTTAGGTCAGGGTCTTCTGGAGCATGAGCAAGAGTTTGACAGTCATTTGCATCAAAGCAGGTGAAACTCCCAGATGTGAAATAGTCCCGGCATCCCCCCCAAATTCCTCTGTGCCCCTCTGTATTCCAGGGGAAATAGTGGGCCTTTATGTCCCCTCAATTTTGGTTAATGACAAAAGAAAGATGGAAACTTCAACCAGCCCTAGCGGGTTTGGCTCAGTGGGTAGAGCGTCGGCCTGCGGACTGAAGGGTCCCAGGTTCATTTCCCAGTCAGTGCACATGTAGGGAGCGTGCTGGAGGCAGCTGACTAATGATTCTCTCTTATTGATATTTCTATTTCTCCTCCCTCTCCTTTCCTCTCTGAAATCAATAAAAGTGTGTGTGTGTGTGTGTGTGTGTGTGTGTGTGTGTGTGTGTGTATATATATATATATATATATATATATATATATATATATATATATATATTTCAACTAGAGATCTGTAAGGAAAAGAGTGATATGATAGAGTGAATAGTGTGGGGGTGGGGCAGAGGAGTACTGGGTCTAGGAGACTATCGCTGAAGGGATGAAGTTTGAGATTTCAAGGAGCCAAACATGGAAAAGATTTGGGAGAAGACTGTTCAGGCAGAGGGAACAGCCAGTGAAAAGGCCCTGAGGAAGAAATAAAGTGAATGTAGTCAAGGAAGAGAAAGAAGGCTGTGGCCCAACTGGTGTGGCATTGACCTTTGAACCACAGGGGTTCACCTTTTCCATTCTGGTCAGGGCACATTCCCGGATTTCAGGCTTGATCCCCAAGGGGCGTGCAGGAGGCAGCTGATTGCTGTTTGTCTCTCATAGATCTCTCTCTCTCCCTAAAAACATTAAAAAAGGGAGAGAGAGAGAGAGAGAGAGAGAGAGGATGAGCAAGGATTGTAGAGTGAAAAGAGTTGGAAACAGTTTTCTCACCATGAGTCAAAAAACCTCTGCCTTCACACCTGCCTGCACACTCCACTAGGCACCCTGGCTAGGGCTGATGGAGCTGTGGACAGATATGTTATACTGGGCAGTTTTGAGCATTGACATATGATATGGGTGTGGTAAGGGAATCCGGGAGCCTTCACCACTGTGTCCCCAGGTGGGATTTGACACTGGACCCTCCTCCTGCTCACAGGCGGAGGCCACCATGGAGCCGTGTGAGAGCGTGGAGAGAGAGGTGGACAAGGTCCTACAGAAGTTCCTGACCTACGGGCAGCACTGCGAGCAGAGCCTGGAGGAGCTGCTGCGTTACGTAGGACAGCTGCGGGCTGAGCTGGCCAGTGCAGGTGGGTGTCCATCACCCCTCAACCCCAGAGCCCCATTCCTGCTTTTCTGTGGGCCTAGGATACCCCAAAGCTACTTAGTAACAGGGTGACTTTTTCTGCTCTGTCATTCCTCATATATTTATTACTTGGCATTCAACTATAAGGAAAAAACTTTCCCTTCTCCCATATATATATTTAGTATTAGTTCTCACTCAGAACTTCTTTTCAATGGGTTATACTACATTATTGTTATACATTTTGATGCTCAAATTGTGTTAGATTTGCCCAGAGGTATTCCTTAGTTCCTATGTCCTTTTCTTTAAAAAAATTGAGTTGAGCCGAAACCGGTTTGGCTCAGTGGTAGAGCGTCGGTCTGCGGACTAAAAGGTCCCGGGTTCGATTCCGGTCAAGGGCATGTATGTTGGCTGCAGGCACATCCCCGGTAGGGGATGTACAGGAGGCGGCTGGTTGATGTTTCTCTCTCATCGACATTTCTGGCTCTCTATCTCTCTGCTTTCCTCTCTAAAAAATCAATAAAATATATTTTTTTAAAAAATTGAGTTGATTCACATAAAAAAAAAACACAGTAACACAACCCTTTAAAGCAGTGGTTCTTAACCTTTCTAATGACACAACCCTTTAATACAGTTTCTCATGTTGTGGTGACCCCCAACCATAACATTATTTTCGTTGCTACTTCATAACTGTAATTTTGCCACTGTTATGAATTGTAATATAAATATCTGTGTTTTCCGATGGTCTTAGGCGACCCTACTAGCGGTTCTCAACCTGTGCCAAATCACCCATAGTAAGTGCCAAATCATCTTCAGTTCTTAGCAACCTACAACTGGTGCTATCTCCCCATTTTATAGATGAGGAAATGAAGACAAATGAAGTAATGCAGTTTATTTTATTTTATTTGTTTTTTAATATATTTTATTGATTTTGTACAGAGAGGAAGGGAGAGAGATAGAGAGAAACATCGATGAGAGAGTCATCAATCAGCTGCCTCTTGCACACCCCCTGCTGGGGATGTGCCTGCAACCAAGGTACATGCCCTTGACCAGAATCGAACCCCGGACCTGTCAGTCCCCAAGCTGACGCTCTATCCATTGAGCCAAACCGGTTTCGGCTGAAGTCATGCAGTTTAAAATTGACAGAACCTGAAACAAAAGCTGAATCTTTTTTTTTTTTTTTAATATATTTTATTGATTTTTTTACAGAAAGGAAGAGAGAGGGATAGAGAGTTAGAAACATCAACGAGCGAGAATCATTTATCAGCTGCCTCTTGCACACCCCCTGCTGGGGATGTGCCCGCAACCAAGGTACATGCCCTTGACCGGAATCAAACCTGGGACCCTTCAGTCTGCAGGTTGACGCTCTATCCACTGAGCCAAACCGGTTTTGGTTAAAATATATTTTATTGGTTTCAGAGAGGAAGGGAAAGGGAGAGGCTGGAGAGAGCTAAGGATGAGAGAGAATTATTGATTGGCTGCCTCCTGCATGCCCCCTATTAGGGATTGAGCCTATAACCCAGGCATGTGCCCTTGACCAGAATAAAACCCAGGACCCTTTCATTACGCAGGCTGAGGCTCTTATCCACTGAGCCAAACCAGCTAGAGCAAGAAGCTGAGACACTCTGGAGTTCAGGGCTGCCTCCTGGGCCTCTGTGGGGAGAGGAAGCAGGGACAAGTTCTGTTCCTGTGTCCTGACTCACTGCTAGTGTTTCTCTGCAGCTCTCCAGGGAACCCCTCTCTCAGCCACCCTCTCCTTGGTGATGTCCCAGTGTTGCCGGAAGATCAAAGACACCGTGCAGAAACTGGCTTCGGACCACAAGGACATTCACAGCAGTGTCTCCCGAGTGGGCAAAGCCATTGACAGGGTGAGCATGTGGGCACCTGGAGCGGGGACAGGGATACCTGGAGTTGGTATGTCCCAGGGCTCATTAGGAAAGCAAGTGTGAGGAATGCGAGTGTCGAGTCACAGGGCCTTATCTCTTGTCCTTGTCAGAACTTTGACTCTGAGGTGTGCGGTGTAGTCTCCGATGCAGTGTGGGACTCCCGGGAGAAGCAGCAGCAGATCCTGCAGATGGCCATCGTGGAGCACCTGTACCAGCAGGGCATGCTCAGCGTGGCTGAGGAGCTGTGCCAGGTAATGGCTTGGTGGGGAAGGTGCTGGGACCTGCCTATTCTGTTTTCTACTAAATCATTTAAAAATATATATATATATATTTTATTGATTTTTTACAGAGAGGAAGAGAGAGGGACAGAGAGTTAGAAACATCAATGAGAGATAGAGAGTTAGAAACATCGATGAGAGAGAATCAACAACCAGCTGCCTCTTGCACACCCCCTACTGGGGATGTGCCCACAACCAAAGTACATGCCCTTGACCGGAATCGAACCCGGAACCTTTCAGTCCGCAGGCTGATGCTCTATCCATTGAGCCAAACCGGTTTCGGCTCAATCATTTTTTATAATACATTCCTGTTATTATTGAAATAAATTTATATTAGAAAGGAAATCAGGTCTCCTGCCATAACTAGAAGGGAGCTCGGTGAGCCCTGGCCAGGTAGCTAGTTGGTTAGAGAGCGTTTTCCCGATACTCCGAGGTGGCAGGTTTGACCCCTGGTCAGGGCACATATAACAATCAACCAATTGCCGAGGCCGGTTTGGCTCAGTGGATAGAGCGTCGGCTTGGGGACTGAAAGGTCCCCGGTTCGATTCCGGTCAAGGGCATGTACCTTGGTTGCGGGCATATCCCCAGTAGGGGGTGTGCAAGAGGCAGCTGATCGATGACTCTCTCTCATCGATGTTTCTCTCTATCTCTCTCCCTTTCTCTCTGCACAAAAATCAATAAAATATATTTTTTTAAAAATCAACCAATGAATGCATAAATAAGTGGAACAACAAATTGATGTCTCTCTTCCTCCGTCTCTCTAAACATCAATCAATCAATTAAAAAAAATAGATACAGTGAAAAGCAAAGTCATTAATTTCTTTTTTTTTTTTTTTTTTAATATATTTTATTGATTTTGTACAGAGAGGAAGGGAGAGAGATAGAGAGTCAGAAACGTCGATGAGAGAGAGTCATCGATCAGCTGCCTCCTGCACACCCCCTACTGGGGATATGCCCGCAACCAAGGTACATGCCCTTGACCGGAATCGAACCCGGGACCTTTCAGTCCCCAAGCCGACGCTCTATCCATTGAGCCAAACCGGTCCCGGCCAAAGTCATTAATTTCTAAGTAGGGTTAGTTGCCAGGCAGGGTTTTGAGTCAAGGGCGACTAGTAAAGTGATTAGTTTCTTAAAATGACAGAGTAGCACTGTTAGGTGTTAAAATTCACTGGCAGTAAAAGTAAAGTATCCTTTCTTCTTTTTTTTTTTTTTTTTTTTTTTTTTTTTTTTTTTAAATATATTTTATTGATTTTGTACAGAGAGGAAGGGAGAGAGATAGAGAGTTAGAAACATCGATGAGAGAGTCATCGATCAGTTGCCTCTTGCACACCCCCTACTGGGGATATGCCCGCAACCAAGGTACATGCCCTTGACTGGAATCGAACCCGGGACCCTTCAGTCCCCAAGCCGACGCTCTATCCACTGAGCCAAACCGGTCTCGGCAAGTATCCTTTCTCTTAAAATAATTAAGAGGATTGAAAAGGAATAATTTCTCACCATGCTACTCAATACAGGGACTGGGGGGGGGACTGTCTCCATTACCTGGGTGAGGTTATAATCTTCCCTGTGGTACTCAGCTCCCCAAAACTGAATTGAAAATAAGAGGGGCCAAGTGGCTGGCAGGAGATCACAGCTCCTCATGCAAGGTCTCCTGCCTGTCTTAGACAGATGAGGTTTTATTAGAGCAGAATTTTGGAAACAGTGTCCTCCAATGATGGATCATGCTCTCTCCACAGGAATCTACACTGAACGTGGATTTGGATTTCAAGCAGCCTTTCCTGGAGTTGAATCGAATACTGGAAGCTCTGCACAAACATGACCTGGGACCGGCGTTGGAGTAAGTGGGCCTTGGGTGGGACAGCAGGGGGCAGGGCTTCTCTGTGGCCTTCACCTCTTAACATATCTCCAGCTCTGTCTTGTGGCCTCACATAGGCTTTTGGATCCCACCCCTTTGTTCCAGCTCCCTCAGGATTCCTTCTTTCATCCCACCAGCTCCATACTCAACTGGCTCCTTTCTTTCCAGATGGGCCATCTCCCACAGGCAGCGACTGCTTGAGCTTAACAGCTCGCTGGAGTTCAAGCTGCACAGACTGTACTTTATCCACCTCCTGGCTGGTGGCCCTGACAAGCAGCTGGAGGCCCTCAGCTATGCCAGGCACTTCCAGCCCTTTGCTCGGCTGCACCAGCGGGGTAAGTGCCCAGGGTAGTAGATGCTGCTGGGCTCTGGCAATATCAGCATTTAACCAGGGTCTGCTCCTACCCTGAGAACTCTGACCCCTCCTTCATTGTCTCCAAGGTGAACTCCAAACCCAAGGCTCTTCCTCACTGTCTCTGTCACACCCTTCTAGCTTCATCTCAGAACCGCCTCCGGTCCCCATCACATCATACTGGGTTTATGTGTGCCACGTCACGCCTGCCCTCATGCTGCTCTGCCTCAGCACCTCCTCTGCAGGTCCCTGCCTGAGCCCTCTTCCTTCACATGTGGATTTCCCAACCTCAACCTTAGGCATTTATTTCACCTTCCAGATGTTCCCCATCAGTAACCACCATACAGCTAGTATTGTTTCTTTAGCTCCCTTCATATTTTTTTTTAATATATATTTTATTGATTTTGTACAGAGAGGCAGGGAGAGAGACAGAGAGTTAGAAACATCAATGAGAGAGAGTCATCGATCAGCTGCCTCCTGCACACCCCCTACTGGGGATATGCCCGCAACCAAGGTACATGCCCTTGACCGGAATCGAACCCGGGACCCTTCAGTCTCCAAGCCGACGCTCTATCCATTGAGCCAAACCGGTCCCGGCAGCTCTCTTCATATTTACTACTTCACATTTTACTGAAAGGTAAACATGAAAACCAATCAGTGTTATTAAATTTTAGCTAGATGCCTCTTGAAAGGTTTTTTTAGAAAGAGGTATTAGCTAGTGTTCTAAAATAGATGTCCGTGCCACCTCGAGATTTGAGGTTCGTTCCCTGATGCAGTTGAAGGATGAGAAGAGAACCAGGACTCCTCCTTCCTGATGCACAGGGTGATTGATGCCTGTCCTGGTCCCACATAAATAGTCCATTGGGTTTTAGGGAAAACCACTTTTACCTGAAGACATTTCAGTCCCTGCCTGGCCAGGCTGGGCACCTCAGAGCCTTGGTGTTCAGCTTGCTCCCCATCCTGCTTCCACAGCCACACTGTACCTGGGGCTGGGCACCCAGCCCTGAGGAGCGGCTGCCTCCTGTGTCCTGGTCCTGCACGAGCTGAGCTGCGCCTGGTTGCCTTGCAGAGATCCAGGTGATGATGGGCAGCCTGGTATACCTGCGACTGGGCTTGGAGAAGTCGCCCTACTGCCACCTCCTGGACGCCAGCCACTGGGCTGAGATCTGTGAGACCTTTACCCGAGATGCTTGTTCCCTGCTGGGGCTTTCTGTGGAGTCGCCCCTCAGTGTCAGGTAAGCCAGCCTTGTGGACAGGGCAGCGTGATTGGTTGGATTTCTAGGGAAACAATTTGCCGAGGCTGGGTCATGTGCCAGGGACAGACCTAAACTGGCTCTCTAAGTCCATCTTCCAGATAGGAACTACTTGTGTCCACAGTTGGAGAAACAGATTAGGAAGAGTTATGGTCCAAGGACACCATGAGGTTAGTAGCAGGGTCAAGGTCCCCATTTTGCCTGCATCTCACTGCTGGATATCACAAGACTCTTCAGACTGGCCTTCTCTCAGCCTCATTTGTCAAATACCATTCTCTCTAGTAGGTCTTAGTAACAGAGTTACAGGTTTTGAGAGTTTTCACTGGAAGGCTCCTGTACAATAATGCTCTTCCCATAACTCCTCGGTGATCTAGGATTAGAGGTACTCACTTTACAGAGAAAACAGAGGCTCCAGACATGAATTAACTTAAAGGGCACATGGACCTGACCCAGAGCTACTCATTACACCATAGTGGATAGTGTCACAGTGCACTTACTGTGGAATCTCATGCTCCACTGTCTGATTATAGGACAGTATTTCCCAGCAGGAGCACCACCTGCTGCTCACACAGCACAACAGCCCTCTGCACCATAGTCAGTTAGCACCCAAGGCTCCAGCCGGTTCGCTCCCATGCCCACCCAGATCATGGTAAGGTCTAAATCTGTCCCGTTTCCAAGTGCCCCAGTCGATAACCAGTTATAGGGGTGCATTATGACAGCAGAGTGGGGGCCTTTCAAACAGATCAGTCCCCATCACATCAAGGACTTTTCAGTGGTATGCATGAGCAGATAACTGCCCCTGAATCTTTTGTCTCTCTTGTACGTTCTGAAGTTTGAGAGTGCATTAGAATGACACATAATTACATATGTGGCACTTTGCAAGCAACCTGATTCTCAAGGACTGATTTAACCACGTGCCAACTTAGAACCCTGACCGAGTCCAGTGTTGATGGCAAGTGTGCAGATCCTTTATCTATCTGCTGGGGTCTTGGTCTGGCCACTCTAGCCCTTGCTCTTTGTTCTGCAGCTTTGCCTCTGGCTGTGTGGCACTGCCCGTGCTGATGAACATCAAAGCTGTGATTGAGCAGAGGCAGTGCACAGGGGTCTGGAGTCACAAGGATGAGTTACCGGTGAGCCTGGCTGAGGGAGGTGTGGGAAGAAGGTACTGGGGATAGCCACGGCAGGAAGTGGGACTCATCCCTTGGCTGGCCTCCGCAGATTGAGATTGAACTAGGCATGAAGTGCTGGTACCACTCAGTGTTCGCCTGCCCCATCCTTCGCCAACAAACGTCAGATTCCAACCCTCCCATCAAGCTCATTTGTGGCCACGTTATCTCCCGAGATGCACTCAACAAGCTCATTAATGGAGGAAAGTAAGTTCCCTATGCTCTGCTCCTGCTTGGCTTAGATCTCCTGCTAGTCAACCTCTCAGTCATTCTTGGTTCTCCCCCCTTTGCAGGTTGAAGTGTCCCTACTGTCCCATGGAGCAGAACCCAGCAGATGGGAAACGCATCATATTCTGACCCCTGTCTGGAAGGAACTTTATTTAAAGAGATTTTTCACCCACGAGACTTGCTGTCTCATTGGAGTGGATTGGGGTTCATTTCAGAATTGCCTGAGTGCCACAGCAGGGTCCAAGGAGGGAGATGAACCAACCTGCACTGGGCAGCTGGCTCCTTGACTGTACGGGCAGGGATAGGCTGGCCTCTGTATTCCTGCTGTCTCCGTTTATGTTTGCCACTGACTTAGTAGCAATGGACAGAGGAGCACAGGACTTGGATGGTGGCAGCAACTGTCTTTCATCTCTGCCCTCAGCCAGGTCTTACTACCATACCAACACCATACCCACTGCTCCCCACTGTACAGCCTTACAACTGACTGTATCCATCAACCACCAGTAAATACTCTGGGACACAACTGAATGCCATTTTTTTTTTTTATAACTTGGAACAAATATATTCACAGGCCTTCTCCTTCCTTTGCTGCAATTATGTCCACTGCACACAGGTACTGACGTGGCCTGGCTGCTGCTGCTGTTGGTGGGATCATGCCAGCCACAGTGCCCACTCAGGAAGAACCCAGTCTACGTACACCTCTGATTGGGCAAAAAAGATGGGAGATTTCAGTCCCTGGAGAGGGTGTTTTTACATACATAAAATCTCATTACCTCCGTGTTAGAAACCAGGGCAGGGGGATTTGGGAAGATTAAATGACTTGTACAACAGGGCTCCCAACTTGTCAAGGAGAGCTTGGAGTTTAAACCAGATGAAGCTTACGCTCTTTCCAGTTTATTCCAGGGCACCGGAAGCCTGGTTGCTATGTATACCGAATCCTGTGCTGGGCCTCGAGAGCAGGAAGATACCTTAAGTCTAAAATATTTGAAGGGACTGGGTTACCGGGGACATTATGCCAAGCAGGAAAGATGGCCTGGGGATTTGTATTTAGCTTCATAATCCCATTTAAAATGTCCTGTGTGGGTGGGTAAATTGCTTCCATAAGCTTCCCAATGGCACTAAGACTCGTGCAGGAAGACGAGGGATGGGGGTGTCCCCGACAGAAGCTGCAGGTTTTCAGGCCATGGGGTCTGGGCTCAGCTGTCTTACCTATGACTTCCGCCTACTGGGGAAGTGAAAGCTCGGGAGTGAGCAGCAAAGTTTGTTCTCAGCTTGAGTCCAGCATCAGCCCTGGCAGCCAGGCATTAGCACTGAACACTCTTAAAGTCCTTGGGGTCCTCTGGTGAGAAAGGCTGCTTCACTCTTTCCTGCCCACCAACTCCTTGGCTCCACTAGCAGCTGCTGCTTTAAAAAACACCCACAGAACCCTGGCTGGTGTGGCTCAGTTGGTTGACCTTCATCCCACGCACCGAAAGGTCCCTGCACAGGTTCAATTCCTGGTCAGGGCATACCCAGATTGTGGATTTGATTCCCAGTTGGGATGGGTACAGGAAGCTACTGATCAATGTTTCTCTTTCTCTCTCCCTCTTCCTCTCTCTAAAATCAATAAAAACATATTTAAAGAGAAGAAAAAAAAAAACCAGCCACAGATTCATCACATTTTAGTCTTAGCATTTACTTCCTTCACACCTCACTCTTGAAACAGTGTCAAGAAACTCAACAGGAAACAACACTGATGGAGAAGATGCTGTTGGAGCTGCCTGGGAAAAATACGTGCCTCAGAAGACTAGGAGATGCTGTGAGTGTGAGCAGCAGAGGGCAGCCAGCTGGCTCCCTGCCAGCCCAACAGCTTCTGGAACAGGTGCCCCGGTTGCTGCCCAAGTCCTTCACACGGGAGGGGGCAGGGCTTGCACCTCCTCCAGGCATTCATCATAGGTCTCCTGGTACTCCTCATGGGGCTTGACCATTATCACGCAGGTGGGGCGTTTGGAGCCTGCAGCTGCACCCAGGTCCTGTTTGAAAAAAAGGCCACACAACCTGTATGCCAAGGAGTCACAAACTTATGACCCACCGGCCTAATTGCTATTCTGTCAGCAGCATATTTTAAAACAGTTAAAATTGCTTCCCATCATTTAAACTCGGCAAACTTTCAAGTAGTCTAGCAACACTGGGCCTACATTCTCACATGGCAACTGTGAAAGGGCTCCAGCCCAACAGGGGCTGCCCCCTTAGGCAGTTTCCTGCCATCCCCCACTCCCTGTGCCCCAGACCTGGCTCCTGCTATGTAAGGATAAGGAGCCAGATCCCTAAAACACCCCTTCTATTCTTTTAAAAAAATATATTTTATTGAGCCGGGACCGGTGTGGCTCGAGAGTGGATAGAGCGTCGGCCTGCGGACTAAAGGGTCCCGGGTTCGATTCCGGTCAAGGGCATGTACCTGGGTTGCGGGCACATCCCCAGTGGGGGGTGTGCAGGAGGCGGCTGATGGGTGTTTCTCTCTCATCATGTTTCTGACTTTCTATCTCTCTCCCTTCCTCTCTGTAAAAAAAAAAAAAAAAATCAATAAAAAAATATATATTTAAAAATATATACATATATATATATTTTATTGACTTTTTACAGAGAGGAAAGGAGAGGGATAGAGAGAAACATTGATGAGAGAGGAACATCCATCAGCTGCCTCCTGCACCCCCTCCTCCCCCCGCCACCGGGGATGTGCCCGCAACCCTTGACCGGGATTGAACCTAGGAACCTTTAGTCTGCAGGCCGACGCCCTATCCACTGAGCCAAACTGGTTTCAGCTAAAACACCCCTTCTAAAGCACTGCACCCACCTAACAGGACTAACATGGGTGCAGCATGTTTGTTGACAGAGCATGTCCACATACTGTATACTTTCTGATTCATTCTCATAGGCCACAGAGGAGGGGATTCCCATTTTACAAGGAAATATAAGTGCTGAGAGAGAACTTACCAGCAGTCCCCTACTTAGGAAACAGCTGAATTAAGAATCCACTCAGTCCCATCTTAACTCCAAAGTTCACTCTTTCCACTATGGACTGCTGCTGAGACCCCATCCTACACCCTCTCCTTTAGTGCTGACCAAGATCAGAGCTAAGGTGCGCCTTACCGTCTTAGAAGGGATATAGACATAGGGCAAATTCCGGTCCTCACACATAACTGGGAGATGGCAGTATACTTCAATGGGCAACGTGTCTCCTGCCAAAATCATGATCCTGAAATGACAGAAACACTAATTTCTAGCTTATTTAGTATTCCCTCTTTAAAAAAACAAAACAAAAAAAAAATTATTGTTGTTTTGTTTTTTTTTTACAGAAAGGAAGGGAGAAGGATAGAGAGTTAGAAACACTGATGAGCCAAAACCGGTTTGGCTCAGTGGTAGAGCATCGGTCTGCGGACTGAAAGGTCCCAGGTTCGATTCCGGTCAGGGGCATGTACATTGGTTGCAGGCACATTCCCAGTAGGGGGTGTGCAAGAGGCAGCTGATCGGTGATTCTCTCTCATTGATGTTTCTAGTTCTCTGGCTCTCTCCCTTCCTCTCTGTAAAAATCAATAAAATATATTTTAAAGTACTGGGTCCATATTCCTAGTTTTCTTTTTGCCTTTTGGACTCTCCTCTGCAGGCTCCTTTTCTTTGAATAGCTTTTATTTATTTTTATTGATTTCAGAGAGTGAGGAGAGGAAGATGGAGAGGGAGAGAGAAAGAGAAAGATCAATGATGAGAATAATTGATCGGCTGCCTCCTACACATCCCCTACTGGGGATCGAACCTGCAATCCAGGCATGTACCCTGACCAGAATTGAACCGTGACCTCCTGGTTCATAGGTCAACACTCAACCACTAAGCCACACCAGCCAGGCTGAACAGCTTTTAAATGCTGATGCTCCACCCTAGCTGGTTTGGCTCAGTGGATAGAGCGTCAGCCTGTGGACTGAAGGAACCTGGGTTCGATTTTGGTCAAGGGCACATGATGAGGTTGTGGGCTTGATCCTTAGTAGAGGGTGTGCAGGAAGCAACCAATCATTGATTCTCCCTCATCATTGATGTTTCTATCTCTCTCCCTCTCCCTTCCTCTCTGAAATAAATAAAAAATAAATGCTGATGCTCCTCACAGCCTGGTCCTTGGCTGCCCTCTCAGTACCTTCTTGCTGACTCCATCCATGGTCATGGCATCAAGTTCCATCTACTAGTATGTCCTGACAACTCCCAAATTTATTCTCTCCAGCCTGACCCTCTCTCTTTCAAGTTTGTAGCCCATCTCTATGCTGGGGAGAGGGGTCACAAGTCTAAAAATACCTCAAAAACTTGTCTAAAATCAAACTCATGATCTTCCCATACAAACCCAGCCCCTCCCCCACAGTTCACTATCTCACTGTGGACCCTTCAAATGGAACCCACACCCCCTCACTCCATATCCAAAAGTCCTCTCAGATATAAGCACTATAATTCCCTCCATCTCCAACCTAATCAAAATCACCTTCACCTCTTCTAGTTATAGTGTCCCTATTTCAGTGTCCCCATCTACTCTTGAGCCTGATCCTATTCAAAGTTGATGCTCCCTGGCTTTAATCCTCAATGCCCTTCCAAAGCTCTGAGTATAAAAACTAAACTTACCATGGTGTACAAAGCTCCATGAGAAGGGAGCACTTCTACCCACCACTACCCTCTCCTGCCCTGGGACCTTTCTTCTGGCAAAGCCCCTCTCCTCCAAACCAATTCCTGTATCTTCAGATCTCAGCTACCCTCACCTAAGTCAAACTCCCCATTGAGCATCAAATCTCCCCAGCAATTTATCTCTTGAGAACCTACAAGGCACAAGACACTCCTGGGGATAAAGTGGAATATGGCTTTACCTTATTCCCATAGAGCTTACATGGACTAAAAATGCAAATGAGTTGCAGATTGTGATGATAAATGCCAGGAAAGAAAGATTTAGGGTCTTTGATGAAGTCTCTCACTGCATCCTATACTTTTCCTTCATAGATATCACAACTTTTAATTTTCAATGTGACTATTTGATTAAAGGAATTGTCTCCCCATAGTACAGTGCCTAAAAAGAGCAGACACTAAAATAGTCGCTGAATGAAAGAAGGTGGGGTCTACCCTAACACATTTAGTTTATTAGATTTTTTTTTTTTTTAAGAAAGAGAGAGGGATAGAGAGTTAGAAACATCGATGAGAGAGAATCATCGATCAGCTGCCTCTTGCACACCCCCTACTGAGGATGTGCCCGCAATCAAGGTACATGCCCTTGACCGGAATCGAACCCAGGACCTTTCAGTCCACAGGCCGACGCTCTATCCACTGAGCCAAACCGGTTCCGGCTAGATTTGCGTCCCCTGGAATTCATTTTCCCGTGCTGTTCCTTAGCGCTAAGGTAAGTGAAGTGAGTGAGTGTTGAAGGGAATTTACTGACTGCTTGATTGTCTTCTAATAGAATCAGAGAACTTTGACCCAACACCTACTAAATAGTAAGGATACATTCATTACCGTTTAAAATGCAAAATCCAGCAGGAGGGGTTCTTACCCTTTCTCGCCTTTGTTGACAAACTTCTGAACCTCCTTCACTCCGCGCCAAATCTGCTTCTGTTTCACGGCTGCAATGACATAAGTCAGTTGCGGGGAGGGGAGCGGGCCCTCGTCCAGCAACCCGGACCCTCACCGCCCACCGCGCCCACCGCACCTTTCTTGATGCATTTGTAGAGTTTCCGAGTGAGGCGGCGAGAAGCCAGGGGCTGTGCGATGGGGTTCAGATTCACCAGCAGCTCCTGGTAAGTGCGCTCCCCGGAGCAAGCCTCCGCCTGAGCTTCCCGCCCCTCGGGATCTCCCTTTATTTTGGTCATCTCAGCTTCAGCGGTTTCCCCAGTAGAAGATCCACGCGGCCCGCGCCCAGGAATCACTTCCGGATCACAGGTCTGGTGAAATCCACAAAATATCACAGCCAATTAGGAAAAGTGGTCCCCGACTCAGACCAATCGTTGACGCTCAGCCCCTTGGGGGCGGAGACTAGGCCGAAGGGGCGGGGCCACCCCTCTGGTCAGAGACCACGCGGAGCGGATTAGGGGCGTGGTTCGGGCGGAGCACCGCGAGCCTTGAGGGAACTGAGGCTCGGAGCGGAAGCCCGGATGGAGGCGGGGCCCCGATGGAGGCGGGGACGCAGGGGCGGGACTTGGGGATCCGCTCGGGCTGGTGGGAGTTCGGCGCACGCGGACTCCCCGGGAGCTGGAGCACGTCTGAGGAGGGGGCGTGCTGGTTGCAAAAACCTCCGAGTCTGCGACTCGGAAGCTAGAATGCGAAGTCAGGCCATTGCGGTTCCAAATCGCCTCAGAATCTGCCCCCTCAGGCGGACAGTGCGCAGCCGGGCAGGGCCCCGGTCCTGAGCTGGTCCTGGGCGTTGTGTCCCCGGTGCCAAGGTGCAGGTAAAGCCTGACGCCGCTAACGGCTTTCTTCGCTCTCGCACCGGGTCTAACGCTCTCTCTCCTGGCAAGCGATGGGTGCCCCACTCGCCGACGCGCCTCGGTCTGGACGCCGTTCCCCAGGGAGCCCGTGGCCCGCTCCTTCCCGCGGGGATCTGCTCAGATGTTCCCCACGGGAGGGGGTTCCCTGATGACCAGCTTATCTAAAATCACAGACCTCTCTCCGCCGCCGCTCCCTAACCCTTATTCCTTGTAGTTCCCGCTGCGGCCTGGTATCACGTGCAGAGGACCCCGCGGGGACGGCAGAGTGAGGAGGGAGCCTGCGTGGACCGCTCTCCAGGCTGTGGGGAGGACGCCCCTGAGTCGGCCTCCAGTTTGCAGTTATTATATAGGATTGATGGACAGTGACACTAGGGAGGTCAGCAGGCCTAGACTGGTGTGGGGGCGATCTTTTTTTATTTTATATTTTATACAGAGAGGAAAGGAGGGACAGAAAGTTAGAAACATCGATGAGAGAGAAACATTGATCAGTTGCCTCCTTCACACCCCTCCCTCCCCCCACTGGGGATGTGCCCTTGTCTGGAATCGAACCCGGGACAATTCAGTCCGCGGGCTGACGTTCTATCCACTGAGCCAAACCGGTTTTCGGCTGGGGTGGATCTTAATATCTCCAACTTTTTTCCCCCACTGTGTCTAGAACACTGCATGGAAATTAATTAGATAATCGCTACAAATTTGTTGCCTTTGATTATGGGATGGACGGCCTGCCTTTTTTGTGATGGTAGAACAGGCCTGTATGTGGGACTTCAGAAGTCTGCAGGTGGCGTGGAACACAGTTAAGCCAACTTAAAAATTGACCTTTTGAAATCTGACTTTTTGCAACAGCATTGTTGGACCTGGAGATTATTATGCTAAGTAAAATTAGCCAGTCAGAGAAAGACAAATACCTTGTGGTCTCACTTATATATGGGATCTGATGAACAAAATAAACTGAAGAACAAAATAGAAACAGAGGCATGGCTACATGGAACTGATTGACAGCTGTCAGAGGGGAAGGAGTTGGGGGACTGGATGAAAGAAGGTGAATGGATTAGCCAAAGAACATAGCCCATGAACACAGACAACAGTGTGATGACAGCTAAAGGAAAAGGGGGTGAGGGTAGGTGGAGGTGGGTAGAGGTGGAGGGTAGGTTGAGGTGGGTAGAAATGGGGGTGGAAAGAGGCTTTGCATAGATGACAAACACATAATGCAGTGAGCAGATGAGGTTTCATTGAATTGTACACTTGAAACCTGTAAGGTTTTTTAAACTAATCTTAATTTCAATAAATTAAAAAAAAGACAAAAACAAAAAAATTGACATTTTAACTCTGTAACCAGTCATTAAGTTGAAAAATCAATTTTTAAATTTAGTATTTTAAGACCCCCAACTAATTTCATAAATATATCAATTGAAAAATGAAAATATGTTATATAAGCAATTTGAGCCCTAGCTGGTTTGCTCAATGGATAGAGCGTCGGCCTGGAGACTGAAGGGTCCCAGGTTCGATTCTGGCCAAGGGCACATGCCTGGGTTGTGGGCTCGATCCCCAATAGGGGACGTGCAGGAGGCAGCTGATCAGTGATTCTCATCATTGTTTCTATCTCTCCCTCTCCCTCTCTAAGATCAATTAAAAAATTTTTTTTAAGGTTCATGCACACTCAGTACTCATTATTACATGACATTCCATTGTATGACATACCACATTTTATCCACTCATTTGTTTTTTTTTTCTTTTTAAAAAAAATTAAATTATTATCTGTGTACATATTTTACCATTGCCCCCCCCCATACATACCCTCCCTCCCCATAGTTTTGTGTCCATTGGTTATACTTATATGCATGTATACAAGTCCTTCAACTGATCTCTTATCTCCCCCAGATCTCCCTACCCTCCCTGCTGTAATTTGACAGTCTGCTTGTTGCTTTACTGTCTCTATATCTATCTTTTGGTTCATCAGTTTATAATGTTCTTTATTATCATAAATGAGTGAGGTCATGTGGTGTTTCTCTTTCATTGACTGGCTTATTTCACTCAACATGATGTTCTTCAATTCCATCCAGGTTGCTGCAAATGATGAGAATTCCTTCTTTTTTTAAAAAAATATTTTATTGATTTTGTACAGAGAGGAAGGGAGAGAGATGGAGAGTTAGAAACATCGATGAGTCATCGATCAGCCGCCTCTTGCACACCCCCTACTGGGGATATGCCCGCAACCAAGGTACATGCCCTTGACCGGAATCGAACCCGGGACCCTTCAGTCCCCAAGTCGACGCTCTATCCATTGAGCCAAACCGGTCTCGGCAGAGAATTCCTTCTTTTTTATGGCAGCATAGTATTCCATTGTGTAGATGTACCATAGTTTTTTGATCCAATAATCTGCTGATGGGCACCTAGGCTGTTTCCAAATCCTAGCTATTGTAGATTGTGCTGCTATGAACATAGGGGTGCATATATCCTTTCTGATTGGTGTTTCTAGTTTCTTGGGATATAATCCTAGGAGTAGGATTACTGGGTCAAATGGGAGTTCCATTTTCAGTTTTTTGAGGAAACTCCACACTGTTCTCCACAGTGGTTGCACCAGTCTGCATTCCCACCAGCAGTGCACGAGAGTTCCTTTTTCTCCACAACCTTGCCAACACTTGTCATTTGTTGATTTGTTGATGTTGGCCATTCTGACAGGTGTGATTATCCATTCATTTGTTTATAGACACTTGGAATTTCTCCAGCTTTTGATTCTTATGAATAGTGCTGCTAAGAACATTCACAGCAAGTTTTTATGTGGGCATATGCTCTCAAGTATGTCAAACTCACAGTTGGTGGCCTGCATGCTCGCTGGTCTCGAGTTTGACATGCTTGCTTAGATTCTCGGGTATGTACCTTGACAATAGATTGTATGTAAAATGGTTTACCTTTAGGGAGAACTGCCAGGCTGTTTTTCCAAAGTGGTTGTACCATTTTATATTTCTACCAGCAGTGTCCAATATTTCTACATTCTCACCAATATTTGCAGTTACCCAACTCTTTCATTACTATACAGTAATCCTAGTAGGTTTAAAGTAGTATTTCATTGTGGTTTTGATTTGGATTTTTCTAATAGCTAATGATGCTGTGCAACTTTTCTGTGCTTATTAGCTATTTGCGTATCTTTGGAAAAATGTCTATTCAGATCCTTTGACCATTTTTTAATTGAGGGTGAGCTTTTTAATTGAATTTTATCAAGCTAGCCATAACCGGTTTGGCTCAGTAGATAGAGTGTTGGCCTGCGGACTGAAGGATCCCAAGTTTGATTCTGGTCAGGGGCATGGTACGTTGGTTGCCGATGCACACCCAGTGGGGAGTGTGCAGGGGGCAGCTGATCGATGTTTCTCTCTCATCGATGTTTCTATCTATCCCTCTCCCTTCCTCTATCAATAAAATATATTTAAAAAATGAATTTTGTCAAGCTAGATGCATTACTGTAGGAGCTGATTTTAAGTAGAAGAGAAAAATAAAATTATATATAGTTTATACAATTTATTGGAAATCTTTTAATTTATTCCTAGACAAGTTATGTCAGTATTGTATGGCAGTATTAGTCAAGTTGCTCTTCCCTATATGTCCACCTAGTTTTATTAGCAGCAATTGGTGTCTCCCCAAAACTGAATTCTGACATTCAGGCCAGATTCTAAGGAGAGAGGGATCATCAAGTGGTGGATGGAACTCTCCTCCAGCATAACTGCTTGGGACATACCTTTCTGTGTAAAACTGAGAGCTTAGAAAAGTCAGTGTGGCACTTTAGAAAAATGTGTGTGTGTTTTTTAATGTATTTATTGATTTGATAGAGAGTAAGGAGATGTGTGTGAGAGAGAAACGCTGATTTGTTGTTCCACTTACTTATGCATTCATTGGTTGATTCCTTTTTTTCTTTCTTTTAAATTGATTGCAAAGATGAAGGGAGAGGGAGAGAGAAAGATAGAAACATCAATTTTGAGAGAGAATTATTGATTGGCTGCCTCTTGCATGCCCCACACTGGGGATCAAGCCCACAACCCCTGCTCTGACAGGGAATGAAACCGTGGTCTCCTGGTTCATAGGTTGACACTCAACCACTGAGTAGCTGGCAGGGCCAGAAAGTCAATTTTAGAAGGAACATTTCCCCAGGAGGGAAAGATAGGCTGGAGGTGACACAGGAAAATGCCATAGACCAAGACCAGCATAAATCAGCAGGTGATCTGGCTGACTTGGAGAGGGGGGAAGTGCGGGGGGGGGGGGGGGTAGAGGATGACTGGAGCTCGTTCTGGAAAGGCAGAAGCCAGCTGGACTTAGGCGAGGTGGGAGGGGTTGTGCTTGGGAGGAAGCTCTGCTGAGACAGGGAGAGGCAGGATTAAGGTGTGGGGTATGGGAAT